GGAGGAGCCGATTATCATTTCATCTGGCACACCAACGCAACACAACAGCACGGGACAGCGCTCAGGCGCAGCCAGTGACGGCGCAGCCCAACCGATGCCCGGCATGGGAGGGAACAGGAGCACGCTAAGCCCACGGGAGCCCCGAGAAGCCCGTCGGCACGTGGAGTTTGCGACGACAAGTGGTGAAAACGCCATGATGGCCCCAATGCCACTCAAGCCGCAACGCCCGCCCTGCTTCGACCCAAGCCAACGCGGCGGCCCGACAGTTCAATCATGGGTCTTCACGATGAATGTGTTTTTCGACGCCAACTACGTCGAGTCGGACGCCGCCAAGATTCGGTATGCGGTTTCACTACTCAGGGGCCCCGCCATGGACTGGTGGCGAGTCATCGTGACGTCGCCACGCGCCTACGAGCCACCGTCGCACGAGGAAGGGCCCTCGGGTCCAGCTGTCACCTGGAGTTCGTTTTGCGAAACAGCCCAATACAGCACGTGGGATGCGTGGTGCGCAGGGCTTCGGGCGCGTTTTGAGCCGATCGCGGCTTCGATTTCGGCGCGTCAGAAACTGCGCACTTGGCGCCAGCTCGGGTCGGTTCAAGACTACACCAGCGGTTTTCTCGCACTTTGCGAACAGGTCGGCTACATGCACGAGGCGGAGCGGGTGGACCGTTACGTCGGAGGGCTGAAGCCGGACATATCGCACGAGATAATGCTACGCGGGCTATCGAATTTCAACGAAATCCTCGCGCTCGCCGAGAAAATCGATATCCTACGCCGACCGAGACCGGGGTCCTATTTCGGACATCGTCCTCGGGGACCGATCGAGCACGCCACTGTACATGCCGTCGCAACGAATGCAGCTGCCACGCCATTTAGAGGGCGCTGCTTTGCTTGCAACCGGCCGGGCCATCGCAAGAGCGAATGTCCAGAGGAGCTGAGGCGTCGAGGAACAGAGCAGGGGAAGGAGTCTCGGAGGCAGGGAAACGCCAGCAGTCAGTAGAAGTTGGGCCAACTACTGACGAGACTGCCTGCTCGCCCAACCACACCGACCCTCACCGAGTCACAGTACCGATTCACGCCATCGATCGGGCTCGGATGAATAAGGAGGGTACAGCGACGGATTGCCCGGTACTGATCTACGGGAAAATACAGGGAGCAGCAGTGAAAATCTTCATTGACGGAGGGGCAAGTCACAGTTTAGTTAATACTGCAACCGCACGGAGATTACAGTTAATACTTAACCGATGTTTACCTGAGATAGATGCACGCTTAGTCGACGGCACGCCATTGGCCATACGAGAAAAAGTGGAGCGAGTAAAAGTCCGCTGCGGGGGAAACTTCGGATTTACACAGGAAATGCTCGCAACGACGCTGGATGGGCACGACATTTTACTGGGACGTGATTGGCTGCGACGGTACAACCCACGGATCGACTGGACGACGGGGAGCTGCACAGTGCGAAGTAGCGGTAACTGGGTCGTCCTACCTCGCTGGCAGCCACCCGAACCTTCGACAGTCCAGGTCAACGCCATCACGATGAAACGGGCTGTCGTTGCTGGAGCCGACGTGTACGCAGTGGATATCGCAGTGGTAGAAAAAGACGAGCAGCAGAATGATTTAAAGAAACTACTAGCAGCCGTACCGACCGAATTACAGACACTACTGAAACGGTTCCCGGGGATATTTCCGGATGATTTACCACAGGGACTGCCACCTCAGCGAGCGCACGACCACAGGATCGAGCTAGTACCGGGGGCATAGCCAACAGTACAGCGGCAATTTCGACTGACACAGCCCGAGCTCGACGAGTTAAGGAAGCAGTTAGATTACCTGTTAGAGAAGCAGTTTATTCGCCCAAGCTCGTCACCGTTCGCCGCACCCATACTGTTCACACCGAAAAAAGACGGAGGTTTTCGCATGTGCATCGACTACCGAGCGCATAACCGAGTAACAGTCAAATCGCGATACCCCATCCCCCGCGCCGACGAACTGATTGACCAACTGCGAACAGCACGTGTCTTTTCGAAAATAGATTTACGGGGAGGTTACCATCAGATTCGGGTCGAACCATCGGACTGCGCAAAAACAGCATTTAGGACTAGGTACGGGTCATTCGAGTATACAGTAATGCCTTTCGGGTTGACGAACGCGCCTGCGACTTTTCAGATGACCATGAACGAGGCGTTTAGGCCACTTTTAGATAAATGCGTGATCGTTTACCTCGACGATATCCTCGTTTACAGTTGGGATAAGCAGCAACACTTAGCAGATCTTGAAGTAGTTTTTAAGGTTTTAGAGGAACATCAGCTGCTCACCAAGGGCTCCAAGTGCGAGTTTTTTAGGGATAGGCTAGAGTTTTTAGGTCACGTCATTTCCGAGGCTGGGGTTGAGATCGACCCAAAGAAGCTGGATACGGTAAAAGCGTGGCGCCCCCCGACAAACATCACGGAACTGCAGAGTTTTTTAGGGTTTGTTAATTACGTTCGACGGTTCGTGCCCGACATGGCACGTTTAACAGCCCCACTAACTGATTTACTGCGTAAGGGGGTCGCTTTTACGTGGGGGGAGAAAGAGCATGCTGCCTTCTCTGCCCTAAAACACGTCCTCTGTTCACCACCCGTTCTACGTATCGCTGATCCCCACCGCCCTTTCGAAGTGGTTACCGACGCAAGTGACATCGCCATCGGAGCTGTACTGTTACAGGACTTCGGCAACGGCCTCCAACCCATCGCCTACGAATCACGCAAACTACATCCGCCTGAGCGAAATTACCCGATACACGACCGCGAAATGCTCGCGATCGTGCATGCATTCAAAGTTTGGCGCTGCTACTTAACTGGCGCAGACGTGACAGTACGGACAGACCACCGATCTCTACAGTACCTCCGCGCACAGCCCCACCTCAACCCACGACAGATTCGATGGCTCGATTTCCTCGAGTCGAATTTTCACTATACGGTCACATACAAAAAAGGAGCATCGAATATCGCCGACGCACTGACCCGCCCCACTGCCCAGATCCACGCGATACTACTCGCCCAGACCAGCCCACTGCTTACCGGCCTATTTACCCACGGATATCAAACAGACCCGTTCTTTACAGGAGGCAACTCACAGCAATTCGCAGCGGCAAAAGGAGTCTATTACGTAAAAGCTGGAACCGACCGCATCTGGGTACCGGGATACACGCTACTGCGGGAACTACTGTTACAGGAAGCACACGACGGAGTTACCTCGGGACATTTCGGGGTAGAAAAAACACGGCAGCAGCTGCAGCGGTACTACTACTGGCCAGAAATGTTGACCGATGTGCAACGACACGTGGCATCGTGTCCCACTTGCCAGCTCATGAAGTCAAGCAGGAAGCGACCAGCGGGGCAATTACAACCCATCCCGCCTCCAGAGCGTGCTTGGCAGCAGGTGACGATGGACTTCGTCACAGGGTTACCAGCTGGGGCGAGTGGGAATGACGCGATCCTGGTCGTCGTCGATCGACTAACGAAAATGGCTCATTTCGCAGCATGCAGGAAATCCATCACAGCCGAAGAAACCGCCCGACTATTCATCTCCACCGTAGTACGACTGCACGGGATACCCGCGTCGATCATCAGCGACAGGGACACGAAATTTACCAGCAACTTCTGGCGGAACCTGTGGCAGTAGTTCGGCACGCGCTTACAGTTCAGTTCATCCTATCACCCCGAAACCGACGGACAGACGGAACAGACAAATCAGACCATGGAGCAGCTGATTCGAGCCACGTGCGACGACCCGAATACGTGGGAACAGCAGCTGCCACTTATCGAGTTCGCATACAATAATGCACCATCAGCCACGACGCAACAGTCGCCGTTTTATTTGAATTACGGACAGGACCCAACAGTACCCATGACACCGAATCCCGACAACCCAGTCCCACGAGCACAACAGTTCGCCGAGATTCTGCAAGCAGCACGGACCAGGGCAGCAGAAGCAATCAAAAAATCAAACATCATCGCTAAACGTAACGCCGATCGACATCGCAGACCCGTTACTTATCAGTCCGACGACCTCGTATTACTCGACACTCAGAATCTTCGCCTGCCCATCACTCCAAAACTTCGCCCCCGGTATTGTGGGCCATTCCGCATCAGCCACATGATCACACCCGTCACTGCCCACCTCCTCCTCCCTGCTGACTGGTACGTCAGCCCGTCATTCCACGTCAGCCTACTTCGCCCTTACATCCCATCCACGAGCCAACTGCCACGAAATCGACCAGCCAGCATGACACGTCCCCCAACCGAACCACTCATCACCCCTGAAAAAATCCTCAGCCACCGAGTCCGCGACCCTCAGGGAGCCCGAAGGATAGAGTTCCTAATTCGCTGGAAGGACCGAACGCCCACAGAAGACAACTGGGTCCCCCTGGATAAAATTGAGAACCACCCTGTCTTCCCCGAGTATCTGCGAAGCCGAAATTTCCGCGACGTCCATGCGCTCTCGTAAGAGGGGCCTCCTTGGGGAGGGGGGTAGTGTAAGGAAATTCCCTTTTCCTTACTTCGCGTCCCTGCTCAACGCGTACGTCACTGTAGCACCTCAGTCAGCACCGTTACCACTCACGACCATCGTATCATTCATTATCCCGCCCTCTTCGCACATCGCATCCCAACCTCACGGCTCGGCTGGTAACCCGCGCTCCGGGCCTACGCTTCGACACTTTCCCAACCTTAGCCCCAGGCTCGTCGCGCGACAACCACAGTCCATTACCGTTACCACTATTGTTTCGCTATATAATCCTTCGCTCATGCCTTCGCTCATTGTACTCTTTGCTTCGATAGTGCAATTCTCGTTCGTTCACTCAATTGCACTCGTAACACCAGACCTTAACATTGGGGGAGGTATATGTGAGCGTGGGGAACTTCATGTATTACATTGCTGCCCTGCGCAAGATTGCCCAAGTCGGTTTCCTGCTCCAGACCATCTGCTGCTCTGAACCCAAGCAGAAATGTTTTTGGAATTTAAAAACGCGAATCCAAATGATCATCAGCTGTGGTGGCCAAAGCACCCACGTTGGCTCTGGAGAAATCAGTCAAGTCGCCGAGAGGAGCAATTGTGCGGTTCATGACACCTGCCGAGGCTCTGACATGTGCCTGCGGCACCGACGCACCGTAGAGTGCTGCAGTACGTTTGGTGGGGCAGGCGGCAAGGGAGAGTCCCGGGGGTTCGAATTTAGACACCACTCCAGCAGCGCTGGCTCGGACAGGGAGGCTGCCAGCCCTCGTCCCTGCAGCCCCCTCCCCACAGGCACGTGGGCGGCAGGAGCACATGGGGCCACGACACATGACAGGACGGCAGGTGCAAACAGGCAGAGGGGAGACACGGGTGCGTGGGAAGCAAGAGGACAGCAGGCAGCCCTGTGGCATGAGGCTCTGGGCTGGAGCAGAGTCTTTCCATCAGCGCACTTTGAGTCATGAACCTCGCTGCTCATCAACTCTGGAAATGAACCAGTCAGAACAGCGACTTGAGAGGTCAGAGGCACAGGGCATGTGGCACACGGCGTGCTGTACCCAGCCTCCCCGGTGCTGACCCCCAGCAGCACGTCGTCTGGAAGGGCACTCTCCGACCCAACACGAGGCCACAGTGCTGGATGCACGCGGCTCCTCTTCCCCTGCCGTGCACAGCCACTCTCCAGCGACTGTGGCCGCTGAATTGTGCTGCCTGGCACTGGTGGAGCTGCAACAGGGCCAGTGAAGCCGTCCCTTGGTCGCTTGTTTGGCAGGCTGGGTGCTGCAGGGTCGGAGCAGCACAACACTCCCCTCATCACATTGGCACGGCCACGGCAGCGTGCTCCCCTCACCACCTCAGCAGGGTTGGTGCAGAGCGTGCACAGCGTCTCTTCCCTCACCACCTCAGCAGGGTCGGTGCACAGCGGCTCTTCCCGCACCACCTCAGCAGGGTCGGTGCACAGCGGCTCTTCCCGCACCACCTCAGCAGGGTTGGTGCAGAGCGACGTTTCCCTCATGAGCTTGCAGAAAGCAGCCGTGGCATCAGAGACAGCAGCACTGGCCACGGCAGCAGTTGAGAGAGCAGCAAGATTACACGCAACATCCACGGCAGCAAGAGCAGGTTCACATGCAACATCAGCAGTGGCAGTGGGCAGGGTGTTGGCATCTGACGTAGCAGCAACAGTGTTGAGAGTAGCAGCAACGGGGAGAGTAGCGGCATCGTACAGAGCAGCAACAAAGGGGATTGAAGCAACATCAAACCCAGAAGCAGCTCTAGGGAGAGTAGCATAATCATTCGCAGCAGCAGCAGCAGCAGCAGAGGGCAGGGAAGCAGGAGGGCTAGCAGCAACAGCACCAAGGGTCGTCACAGGCTCGGCAGGTGAGTGGCTGTCATTGGGTGAGAGGAACACGCGCTTGCACTCGTCAAGCGACAGCCCTCCAAAATTCAAAACAGCTGTCCACAATCGATGTGACCCCACACCACCCTGCTGCTGTTGCTGCTGTAGTGCCAGGCTCCGCACTGAAATGTGACTCGGGGGTGCGGCGCCACGTGGGAAGCATTCACTCCAAAACTGGTGCTGAAAGCGGTGAAGGAACTTTCTGCGCGTGGGACAATGGGGCACAACAAACAAATGTAGAAAAACGGCAGAGCCTTGCCAAATGGCTAAGAATTGTCAAACGGCTAAGAATTGACAAACGGCTTAGATTTGTCAAATGGCTAAGAATTGTCAAACGGCTAAGAACTGTGAAACGGCTAAGTATTGTCAAACGGCCTAGAATCGTCAAACGGCTAAGAACTGTGAGACGGCTAAGAATTGTCAAACGGCTTAAAATCTTCAAACGGCTAAGAAATGTCAAATGGCTTAGAATTGTCAAACGGCCTAGAATCGTCAAACGGCTTAGAATTGTCAAACGGCTGCAGCTCTTTCACCTGATGTACGTGTCATGCCGGGTTACCTTCGGAGGAAGATGTAACGGTTACAGCACGACTTGTTGCTCCTCTTGAGCTCACCGCTCCTCTCCAGCTCGCCCCACTGCTTCGTGCCGCACTGCAGCGCGTGACGCAGCAGCACCGCGTCCTCCTGCCGTGAGAGTGGGGTAGGGAATGAGTGGATCGAGGGGCAACGAGAGTGCGCATGGAGGCAACAGCACTGAGAAAATTCGCTTGACTCAAGCTTGCTTCATCCCCGATATTGTAAGGAATAGGGTCAAACTCACCCCGATGGAGGATACCTAGTAATATCCCACACCAAACCCACCAGGCATGTTCAGACTGCCTGGTGGGTCTCAATTTGAGAAACCGGGCCAGGGGCGTTGAGTCCCTTGTGCCGGCGAGAGCATGCTAGAAAGCTTGAAAGAATTGGCGAACTCACTTTGATAAATAACCGCGGAGCACACGAAATCTTTTCGCATCCCTGGATTCCCCTAAGGAAGCCTATGAAAATGTACCACTCACCTCTCGGGACCACGCGTTAAGCGATGGGGACGCAGAACCGCCTATGGCTTCGGAGGAATGCAGCATCGTTTCCACCGCCTGTGGCTTCAGTGACATCCCTTCACCGCAAGGTAGTGATAGATTCGCAACACGAATACAGATGAATGGCTGAGAGTCGACGGATCTAATAGCAGCACTACTAGCAACACGGGGAGCGTCTCCCAAATATACAGAAGTTTACTCGGTAGTAAAAGATTCCAGGGGAACGTCTCAGAGCACGCCGTGAAAGACCGCAGCCATGCGCCGTACGTAGGGATGAACGCCGATAAAATATCCGGTCAATAACGAAGTTCCGAAATGCTCTGGGCCAGGGCTGTCGATTCAAGGGCATTTGCCCTCAATGCCCTGAACATTCCGGGTTATGTTCGGCGCAGCTCGACCATTTTAAGGGTTTGATTCTGCTGGCACCCGTGCCAGTGAAGGGCATCGTTTGGCCCTTCCCCGGACGCATTAAGTGCTCAATCTGGGCCGTCCCCTGAATCTAAGTTCTACTTTCGGTTCCGCAGACCACCCCCCTAAAATCTTGCGGAACACTCCCCTCCCCCTACCCCCCCTCTCCATGAAAGTTGCACAATAGGGCACCAGGTGGAGGATGTTTCACTCGATTTTTTTTTCCAATCTAGTGTGTGTGTAGTGTCGAAGTCAGGAGATGAGTAGAAATGCAGTAGGTAGTGCAGCTGTAGTTGTAGTTGGAGTTGTGACATACAGGTTGACTGGAGTGGTTAGTAGTGAAAAGTATGTGATTTTCTTGTCTATAATGCTGTTTAGGTTAGTTAAGTACACAGCACATTGGAGCCCGGATTTCAAGTTACACTTCGGCCTGCACCCGTGACCGTTAAGGGCGAAAATTTGGTCACCTACCTGAAAATCAGGGTCAGAATTTCAGCAGCTGGGGGCCTCAAGTTCTGCCCCCAGGGATATCGACAGCCCTGCTCTGGGCTGGACGGTGTCTGCGTTCTGGGCTGAAGGAGCGATACAACTGGACGCCTTTTCCTCGCTGTAGGAAACTGTGCAGGGTTGTCTCTTCAGTTTCTACTAGACGTCTTCCACAAATCGCTCTTCCTAAAAGAGAACCCACTATGGTGAGAAACAAGGCGATACTGAATTGGGAGGTGATATTGAACTGGGTAATCATGCAGCCAGTAGTCCAATAAACAGTCAACTCTCCTTACAAAAATTCACTGTTCGATCACGGATAGTCAAATGTTCCCCAAAATCTATCACATGTTGTCACAACTGTATCCCGAATCGTCACTCCGTCTTGTGAGGATGGCAAAATCCCTATATGAAACAACATATCCGGGTTTATGTCAAGTTCATGCAATTTACTAATGTGGTCAAGATTGCCCAAGTCACTTTCCGGCTTCAAACTTGCTTTTTGTCTGAACCCAGGCAGACCAGTTGAAGATTGAGCATGTGAGTCCGAATGGACACCAACTCGGGCATCCAAACAAGCCGAGCTGGCTCCGGAAGAATCGGTAATGTCAATCACAGGAGCACTTGTCCGGCTCATGTCATCTGGCGAGGCTCTGACATGTGCATGCAGCACCGTAGTGCCTAGCAGTAAGGGTGGTTGGGCAGGAGGCGAGCGGGGTTGCAAGCGCGAATCCCGTGCGCTTGGATTCAGAAGAATCTGCCTTGCAGCAACTAGCGGGGCAGGGGCGGGGTGTAAAGGCAGCGGGAGATTCTCCGGCAGTTGCTGTGATGTGCGCTGGTGCGACGAGAGAGGGGGAGCCAGCGCAAGCTGCAGGCTGCGACGAACATTCAGCTGCGCACAAAAACCTCTCTGCAGTTGATCGCCTCCCTCCCCGGTCCTGTCTTGCTCCCGACGCCACTCCAGCAGCGCTGGCTCGGACAGCGAGGCTGCCAGCTCTCGTCCCTGCAGCCCTCTCCCTACGGGCACATGGGGGGGAGGAGCACACGGGGCCATGGTGCATGACAGGTGAGGCACTGGCAGGGGGACGGCAGGCCCAGGCAGACAGGGGGGAGACACGGGTGTGTGGGGAGCAAGGGAGCAGCAGGCAGCCCTGTGACATGAGGCTGCGGGCAGAACCGGCGTCTGTATGTTGCGGTGCTTCTCGTCAGGGACCATCCCGCACATGCATCTGCTCACTGCCCCTGGGAGGGAACCTCCCAGAGCAGTGACTTGCGAGGGCAGAGGCGCTGGCAGTGCGTAGCGTTGCGATATTGGCTCTACAGTGGCATGCGGTGCGCTGTACCCTGGCTCTCCGGTGATGTACCCCGGCTCTCCGGTGCTGTACCCTGGCTCTCCGGTCCTGTACCCATCCTCCCCCCTGCTGAATCCCAGCAGCATGCCATCAGGAAGGGCACTCTCCGACCCAACCCGCGGCCACAGTGCTGATTGCACTCGGCTCCTCTTACCCTGCTGTGCACAGCCATTGTCCAGTGACTGTGGACGCAATGTGAAACCTGGCACTGGTAGAGCTGCGACAGGGCCAGTGAATCCCTCCCTTGGTCGCTTGCTCCGCAGGCTTGGTGCTGCAGGGTCGGTGCACAGCGTCTCTTCCCTCACCACCTCAGCAGGGCCAGGGCAGAGCGACGTTTCCCTCATGAGCTTGCAGAAAGCAGCCGTGGCATCGGAGACAGCAGCACTGGCCACAGCAGCAGTGGAGAGAGCAGCAGGTTTACACGCACCGTCGGAAGTAGCAGTGGGGGGAGGAGCAGCATGATCGAACCCAGCAGCCGCAGCAGCAGCAGCAGTGGGGAGAGCAACAGATTCAAACGCAGTAGAGGCAGTGAGTGTAGCAGCACCGAACGCAGAAGAAGCAGCGGGGAGAAAAACAGCATTAAAGGCAGCAGCAGAAGCGGATACAGTGGTAGCATCACATGCAGAAGCCGCAGTTGGGAGCGGAGCAGCCTCAAACACAGCAGCAGGGGTAAGAAGAGCAGCACGGGCAGAAGCAACGACAGCAGGGAGAGAGTCAGAGGAGAGGGTCGCCTCGAGCTCAGCAGGAGGGCGGGTGTCGTTGGGTGAGAGGAGCACGCGCTTGCACTCGTCAAGCGACAGCCCACCGAAAGTAAGAGCAGCTGACAGCGATCGGTGAGCAACCATACCACCCTTGCTGCTGCTGCTGCTGCTGCTGCTGCTGCTGCTGCTGCTGCTGCTGCTGCTGCTGCTGCTGCTGCTGCTGCTGCTGCTGCTGCTGCTGCTGCTGCTGCTGCTGCTGCTGCTGCTGCTGCTGCTGCTGCTGCTGCTGCTGCTGCTGCTGCTGCTGCTGCTGCTGCTGCTGCTGCTGCTGCTCCTGCTGCAGAGCCTGACTCTGCCTTGAACTATGCCTCGGAAAATCACCACCGGATGAAAAACGCTCCCTCCAGAGGTGCTGCTGAAAGCGGTGAAGGAACCTTCTGCAGCCCAAAAGAGGGGGGCGAAACGGACGTCTGTTTAGAAACGGCTCGGCATTGCTGTCTGAAAGCGGATGTCTGGCATTCCGGCTTACCTTCTGAGGAAAATGTAACGGTTACAACACGACTTGTTGCTTCGGTTGAGCTGACCGCCCCTCTCCAGCTCGCCCCACTGCTTCGTGCCGCACTGCAGCGCGTGGCGCAGCAGCACCGCGTCCTCCTGCCCACCAAGTGAGGAGGCCATGACATGGAGGCAACAGCATTGAGGCGAGACCGGGCGAGGGGTGTTGAGTCCCCTGTGCTGGCGTGAGCAGCAGCTACATTCTTCTGGCTTACATGGCAGCCTGCCATGCTCGAAAGCTTGGAAAAGTGCGCCACTCACACTGATTGAACACCGCTTGGCACGAACCGTTTTCACAGCCGTCGGGTCCCTTCCCTACAATCCCCCGTCCCTCTCCAATCCCCCCTCCTTATAACGCACCTAGCTCCCCTCCTTTCACCTGTCTCTTCTCACCTATCTCTGCTCACCTCTCGGGACCACGCCTTGAGCAGTGGGGACGTAGAACCGCCTATCATAGCCTCAGACGAATTCGGCATTGTTGTCGACGCGAGGTATCTTCCTAATCCCGCCGCCCAAGATGATAGTAACTTAGCAATTCAGAATACCCAAAATGGCTGAGCTGAGTCGACTGGTGCTAGGAAGACTAGCAAGCGTGACGGTCTGGTCATTCTACGACGGAAAGGCCAGTCGGGATCATTCAAGACGGGGAGACGTCGCAAAGAAACGGAGCATCCAATCGCCGTGAATCCGCAACCATGCGCAGGTGTGTATCCCCTAAAAGAAAGGAAGTTCCCAGGCACTCCACATAATGTGGATGAATGCGTGCGAAAAAGCCGATACATGGCGCACGGATCGGGCCTGGCATCCCGCAAATCATGAGTCAAGACATCACGGCGAGGAACCTTCTGGAAACCAAGCGAGTGCCAAGGGCCCGGATCTAATTCCACGATAGTACAGGGGGGACCGCACGTGCGGTCCGCACAAGAAGGGAATCTCACGCTGTCGCGACCCGTCGCGTAGCATCCGACGACAGCTCATCCTAGAACCCGAAACTCCTGACAGGAGAGCCCCAACAGAAACTCCTCCTGACCTGGCAGGAGTGCTTCAACGGAAACCCGCGCGCCCTCCGAATTGAGTATGATCAAACAGTAAAAACAGAGCGGAAGAGGAATGCAAGGACGAGTACAGTCGCCGTGACCACCAAACCAATCTTCGACCAGTCTACACCCAAAGACCTCGGAGATGTAGAACAAACTGTTGCTGCCAACTCGCGTCAGTGCGGGGTCCTCGGGAAAACTGGCACTACCGGTAACCGCAGAGCACATGAGTGGGTTGCTTTTCTCGGCCCTAGAAGTCACGCGGGTTTGTAAATCATGACCACTCGGTCTGTTGGCAGCCCATAGTCAGCAGCAGCGACCAGCGCATCCATTGTTCAGCAGCACGAAATCACGCAAGTGAATCGGACCAAACTGTGAAGAGGAATTGCACCTACTTGAATCCAATCTGTACCCAAGGAGGTTTGATAGCGTGACTCGATATTCTTGATATTATATTTATATCATGGATTGACTTGATACTTTTTGTTCCTTTCTTATTCTTCATACCGCGTACGGCACTTCGTAGACATTTTCCCAACCTAGATGCTAGGCCCGTGTGGATACCCCTTCACGAGCGCATCACCGCGCTCATTTGATTTCGTTGTCTAACAAGTCTCATTTGTTCACTCCATTGCACTCATACCGTAACATAAACATCAAGTGTAGTCATGCGCTCCGCAATATTAATCACAGATGGTCGCCAGGTATCAGGATCCACTGGAACTTGAGAGGATGGTAAAGCCCCGTATAAATCAACATATCAGAGAATTCTTCAAGTTCATGCAAGGTACATTGATGCTGCGCTCAAAACTATCCAAGACGTTTTCAGGCTTCATACTTGCTGTTTGTCTGGACCCAGGCAGACCTGTCAAAGATTGAACACGCGAGTCCGAGTGGACATCAACTCGGTCGTCCAAACAAGCCATGTTGCCTCCAAAAGAATCGGACATGTCAATCAAAGGAGCCATTGTCCGGTTGATGGGACCTGACGAGGCTCTGACATGTCTTGTATTGCAGTATGTGTGGTGGGACGGGCAAAGGAGGTTGCAAGCTCGAGTCCTGTAAGTTCAGACTTGGAAACATTTGCCTTGCAGGTACTGTGGGGCCCGTTGAAGAACGCAAGGCAGCACAAGAGGCTGCGGCAGTTGCTGTGACGAGGACTGGTGTGACGAGAGAGGGGGGGTCAACACATGCTGTAGGCCCTGACAAGCATTCACCTGCTCGCAAGAATCTGACTGCAGTTGAGCCCCTCCCTCCCTGGCCCCTCGTTGCTCCAGAGGCCAGTCCAGCAGCGCTGCCTCGGACAGGGAGGCTGCCAGCCCTCGTCCCTGCAGCTCTCACCCCACGGGCACGCGGGCGGCGGGGGCACACAGGGCCACTGGAACGTGGGTGGCAGGTCCAGGCAGGCAAAGCGGAAACACGGGTGCGTGGGGAAGAAGGGAGCAGCAGGCAGCCCTGTGACATGAGGCTGCGGGCAGAACCGGCGTCAGTATGTTGCGATGCTTCTCGTCAGGGACCATCCGGCACATGGGGGGGAGGAGCACATGGGGCCACGGCACACGATGGCCGAGGCACTGGCAGGTGGACGGCAGGTGCATGCAGGCAGAGGGGAGACACGGGCGCGTGGGGAGCAAGAGAGCAGCAGGCAGCCCCGTCACATGGAGTGGTGAACATGAGAAGAATAGAACGAGAATGAATGAACTATGAATGAAGTGAGTACATATAGGAAACCCTAATCGGGTTGTACCCCCTATGGGATACCCAACTATAGCCTACACAACAGCATAAGCTATATAACGTTCTGACACACCCCCATAGGCAAAGTGGGGGAGAACAAGGGGTCACAAGACCAGTCAAACAAAACAGAGCAAGCTCAAGGTGGATCACAAAGTCACCACACAGTCCGAGCACAACGACAAGGCCACAAGGCCAGTTCACATGCAGGAGTAGACACATATATATATATATAGAGCTAGACAAGCAAGAGCAGGTATATATGTGTGACAGTACAAGCAAGGTCAAGAGGAGAGCAAGTGAGGCAAAACAGGTACAAGACCCAGCGGAGTGCAGAAGCGCTGATGGTCACAAGGCGCGAGTGCCTTGGTGAAAACGTCAGCTGGCCTCAGAGGCCACGTACGCAAGCCGCAAGTGTCCACGCTGCTGTAGCTCACGAGCAAGGAAGTAGCGGAAAGCAATGTGTTTCGTTCTGTGCTCCAGGCTCTGCTCTCGACACAAGGCCAGCATGGCCTTGTTGTCTAAGTACAACACTCGAGGAGAACGAGGCGGCTCTCCAAGGTCAGTCAGCAGGTAGGTGAGCCAGCGAAGCTCCTGTGCAGCCATGGCCCCGGCATAGATCTCAGCCTCACAACTGGAGCTGAGGACAGAAGACGAGCGAGTAGCCCACCACGAGACAGAGCCGGAACCAAGACTGAAGGTGTAACCCTGTGACGACCGCTGCGTAGCCTGGTCGTCAGCCCGAGAAGCGTCCGCGTGCCCCGTAAGGACCACTGGACTACGCCCTCCAAGCACTAGCCCCATGCTCGACGTACTGCACAGGTAGCACAACACCCTCTTCGCTGCAGCCATGTGTTCTGGTCGGTGTCTCCCAGGAGCAACATAGCATGCAAGAATGCTAAGAGGGTATGCTAGGTCAGGTCGTGTGCAGGTCATCAGGTACATGAGGCAGCCAACAAGCTCTGGATACGGGCCACTCGACTCTACGGACTCATCCGAAGGCAGAGCTGAGAGCGAGTGGCGAGTAGACAGAGGAGTGGCCTGAGGCGAGGAGTACGTGAAGCCGAAGCGCTGAAGGACCTGCTGCACCATGTGTGACTGAGTCAAGGTAATGGTGCGGCGTGCTCTGTCCCGAGTGATCTGCAAGCCAAGATAGCTGCGCAGTTCACCCAGGTCTGTGCACGTGTGTCTCTTCAGCAACTCGGACTTCACGTAGGCGAGTCCAGCAAGGTCCGCTGTGGCAAAGACCAAGTCGTCGACGTACACGAGGATGTAGAACGGCGGCAGAGAAGTGTCGGTGCGTAAAAACAGCGAAGGGTCAGCAGTAGAGGGAGCAAACCCAAGAGCCGCAAGCGTAGTCCTTAGTGTGTCGTGCCACTCACGCGGTGCCTGGCGGAGACCGTAGACTGGTCGTCGGAGGCTCCACTGGGTGCCAGGAAGGAAAGTCCCAGTGAAGCCAGGTGGACGGCGCAGCCAGATCTCCTCGTGCAGGCTACCCTGCAAGAAAGCAGTGCTGAAGTCAAGAGAGTGAAGCTCGTAGTCGCGCTGAGCGGCTATGTGCAGCAGCACCCGAAGAGTGGTCATCTTCGGGGTGGGAGAGAAGGTCTGAAAGTAGTCAACTCCCTGTCGCTGACTGAAGCCACGAGCGACGTACCGCGCCTTGAAGACAGGTGGAGAGCCCGGCGGCCGCTTCACCCTGAAGATCCACATGCCACTGACGATGTTCGCCCCAGGAGGGGGAACCGCGTCAACGTAGGTGCCTGTGGACTTCCAGGAAGCCATCTCTGCATCCATAGCTGCCTGCCACTGAGAGGAGTAGGGACCCTCTACGGCCTCCGCGTAAGAGCGCGGAGTCGGGATGTCTAGTGCATCCGGGTCTCCCTCAGGGGCAAGCAGTACAGACGCGAGATGAGGTGAAGCAGCACCCAGACACTGGAACTTCTCCTGCCTGTCCTCAAGGACGTCCGTGCCAAGAGCACACTCACCCCTGACGGACGGAGGACAGACAGACGCAGACTCAGCAACAAGACTGGCAGCGTAGTCTAGACGACAGCGAGCAGCAAAGTCGACGAGCTCAGCAACAAGCGCAGACGCAGCAGCGGACTCAAACGAGGGGTCAGTGACGACAGTAGCAAGGACACGCGTGACAGTAGGACTGGCAGTACGAAGAGAGTCCGACTCCGGGTCAGCAAGCGCAGGAAGAGAGGACGTAGGAGGAGAAGGCAAAGGGGCACGCAGAGGAGCAGTGGACGGACGCAGAGACATCCGGTGGGTGCCAGGGACAGGAGGAGGACGCTGACGCGAACCGCGACCACTAGCGCGAGCAGCACGAACAGGCGACGCGGGACGAGACGCAGGCTCACGACGCTCAGCAAGACCTCCAGTAGGACCAGTGTAAGGAGAGGGAGCAGGAAGTGGGGAGGCGAGCTCTAACTGTGACGGTGAGTGGACAGGCGGTGGACACTCTACAGGAGGAGAAAGACCAAGAACCTGCTGCAGGAGCGGAACAAAGTACGGCCGAGGCCGCGCGGCGACTTGAGACACAGCACGGACAGCACCAGCACCCTCAGCACCTCCGGCAGCACCAGCGTCAACAGCACCTCTAGCGGCAGGACCTCCAGCAGCACCAGCAGCAGGACCACCGCCACGACAGACAGCAGCAGTCTCAGCACCAGCACCCTCAG